ATATGCTATACCAGTGAATTCACTTGTCACCTTTTGGAAAAAGCTCTTCTTATCATCTGCCCCTCTTCTTTTTTTATGACTGCTCAAATCCATTTTTGTTCTATTAACTGTATTATTGTTTCTACCCTTTCTCCTCCTCCATTTTTTGTACAACTTCTTCATTCTTAATTAAACCTCTATTTCTCTGCCAACAAACAATTCTTGGAATATCTGAAAGGCTCATAATACGAGGTTTTAGGTCATTCCCTTTTCAGAGATTTTCCTCTACTTCTTTTCTTTATTTTTTAATTCCATGTTCCATACTTCTATCAGTGTACTCCTAAAAAGAATGTGTTTTCTCTTCTCTTCTTAAGCATTATGGGATTGAGTTTTCATTCATTCTTTGATCAACTTTTGTCAATTATTCTCACTTTCTGATCTTAAGATACCAAACCTCTGCCTTTTACACTCTCTTAAGAAGTAAATCCAATGGCATGCTCTCAGCTTTTTGTATTTTGCCATAGGAATTTACAGACAATCATCTTTTTACTACTTCTATTCATTTCAGGCTTGACACATGTTAAATTCATGGCTGAAGGTAAGTTTGTCATTCCTAGATTTTGTTCAAGAATATAAAAACTTCAAATCTTTTACATTCGAGATCTTTACCCAATTAGCCGCCTATATTCATTGTTTACTTTTTTTAGCCGGTATACATAAATTATACACTGATTATATATAGTTATTCATATATACATTATATATTCTAGCGGTTGAGTGGACGGCTGTTTAGGTTAATTCTTTCTTTACAGTCTGTTAGTCACAATTCTATAAAGAAACTAAGAATCCTAACGGATAATTTCTCCGTCTTTAATCATTTTGCAGGTAGGAGAATTCTCAAGCTGCAAACTGGAATTACTCAGGTGAGTTCTTGATCTAAAATGCCTGATCTTTTTAAAGTTCAATATGAATATTAATGAGAAATGATTGTGCATATTTTGTTTTTAAAAAAAAGCAGAGGAAAAATGAAGAGAAGATGTTAAAGGTGAGATCTTTAATAGGTTCAAGGCCACCAAGATGTGAAGGAAGATGTAGAAACTGTGGACCATGTGAAGCAGTTCAAGTCCCAATTGTGCCAAACCTCAAACACCAGCAATTAAGAAGCCATCAATTGAATGCATTCCCTAAATTCTTAGCATATTCAAGAGGTGATGACATCTCCAATTACAAGCCTATGTGTTGGAAATGTAAATGTGGCAACTTTTTCTTCAATCCTTGACATAGCTAGCAAAAGAATAGATCCTCTTTTTTGTATGGAGAAAATAAGTTTCTCTTCAACTGTCTATATACATGAATATCAAATTAGCTAGATTTTGCAGAATCAAGATTGATGATAATGCATATTTGGTACATCTTCTTACCGCTGTTGTAGCACCATATTTCCCTCCCCCTTCTTTCTTCTAATACAAAAAACTTTTAATTTAGGAAGTGCTTGAGCTAATTATTATTTTTACTTGTCCACTATACTAAATCAAGAGAAAGACAAAAAAAAAATTTCTTTCTTATTTTACCCTTAACATTAATTACTCATTTTCAAAATTATTTCCCAAGATTTTGTGAAATGTTATCATTATTAGGGATTATATGAATACTACAATTAGTATTTCTCAAAGGGACGTGAAAAAATACAAAGTAAACATGTAAAAGTGAAGGAAAGGAGTATAGATTAAACAGTTCTGGATTGCCCAATGTTCATGGTTTGGTTCATGTTAGTTAAACGGAGATTACGTTTACTTAGTGATTAATAATGAAGGGAATGTTATACTTAAATTATTTAGTCTAAAAGGGCATGTCTTTGCTCTAAATAATATATTCCTACATTATTAATACACATTTTATCCCGCATTATATAATACATAAGTTTTTTACCGAAGTTAATAGGAGTAGGTATTATTTAACATTGCCCAATCAAATATTGCTAACTATTCGATGATTGTTGTAATACGGTCAATCAAGTACTGTATTATTACAAAAACTTTATGTTGGGATAACTTATAAGTATCTAAGGGCTCGTTTGGTACGAGAGAGATTAATTCCGAAATGCTTCCTCCGTTTTAATTTATGTGAACCTAATTGATCGAGTATGCAGTTTAAGAAAAGAGAAAAGACTTTTGAACTTGTGATGTAAAATAAGACATATATATTTTGTGTGACTATAAATCATTGCATAAAGGTAAATTATTTCCAAATAAAGAAATAGATCATTCTTTTTAATACGAAATAAAAAAAAAAGTATGTTTACATAAATTAAAACGGATGTAGTAGTTAATTATTCCCCATAGTTCAGTTTTGGATTATTGTTCATCGCATTCTGTGAAAGGGGGTCTAATCTAATAGTACTAGTAGTGTGATGTGAATGTGACGACAGTAAGTAAGAGGTGTAATTTTTTAAAAAGGGAAGAGAAAAGCAGAGAAGCAAAGGAGAGTGGGGCGGCTGATGAGCCATGTCAGTTGCACAGTGTGCAGCCAGCAGATTTAGAGAGAGGGGACCTGTGTTTCGTATCTTAGCAAGATTTTTTGTGTATCTCTATTCTCTAATAAAGCAAAAGAGGGGTTGGTTTTCTTTCCCTACACCAATGGGCCTCTCTCTACCTCGATTCTCTAAATGTTATGCAAAGGCCACAGTACTACAGTCTCGTTTGCTGTGTTCTCTCTGCCCACCCTCGTGTGTCTATTACTACTATGTATTTGTACTATCATTAGGAGTATAATTTTTGTCGGTGTAAAAATTTATATGTGATCAAGTGTAGGTTTATCGGGTATATTTGTCATAAAATATTATATGTAATTATTGTTTAAGTAATTGATTGTATAAATATTTTTTATACCATCTACAAAACTTACGTTCGTATCATTGTTATTATTTTAAAAATTTCTACTAATACTAGTACTTGTTCTTTGATTCATAAACTGTTTGTTTCTCCTGTGAATCAACATGAAGTAAGGGATCAGAGGAAATGTGCAATTCACAAGTTTCTTACCATAAAAACACGAAATTATACTTGATTAATGGGGAAGTGTACAAGCAGTCATTCTTAGGAATTAGTCAATACTTATTGTGTTCCAAAAAAATAAACTGCAAAATTAAAATTTAAGACACATTAATTAATTTCTAAATAACAGTCCCTTTAGCGTGGCTACCTAGTGTCATTTCTGCTTGAACGACTCGGTTTAGTTTGTCAATGAGCTATATGGGCCGTTTAGTGCGGGTTAGATCCTGAATTAGGAAGCCTGTTGCTCATCAATAGAAGCCCAGAAATAAAAAGGCTTGGGCCCAGGACCTATAATACGTGGGGTAAGTACATAATTAGTCACTAATTAAAAGTATCTTTACTCTTTAGTCACTGTTTAAAATGTATTTACTCTTTAGCCAGTCCTTAATAAATTTTTACCCGCCCGGACGAATATATCCTTATGCTAGACATGGGTGTTGTATAAATATTAAGGGTATGGTGTCCTTAACTTTATGAATGCTGTGTAAATATTAAGGACAAAGTGTCTTGTGTTTGCACCTTCCGTTGTTAAACTTTAGGACATCATGTCTTTAACTTCATATGTGCAGTGTAAATGTTAAGGATATGGCGTCCTTAAGTTCATGTGTACAGTGTAAATGTTAATGACATAATGTTCTTAACTTGTATTTGCACCTTCTGTTGTTAAACTTTATGACTTTATGTCCTTAACTTCATATGTGCAGTGTAAATGTTAAGGACATGGTGTCCTTAACTTCACGTGTGCAATGTAAATGTTAAGGACATAATGTCCTTAATTTTATGAGTGTTGTATAAATATTAAGAACATTGTGTCCTTAACTTCATGAATGTTGTGTAAATATTAAGGACAAAGTTAATATATTTGCACCTTCCGTTGTTAAACTTTATGACATCATGTCCTAAATTTCATATGTGCAGTGTAAATGTTAAGGACATGGCGTCCTTAACTTCATGTGTGCAGTATAAATGTTAAGGACACTATTTCCTTAATATTTACACAGCACTCATGAAAAAAGAGTAACAACGTCTTTTCGTATTAATTTTAATAGAGTAGTAGCTATTTTTATTCAACATTAAAAATACTGAATAAAAACTAAATACCATATTAAAAATGACCATCCCACGCCATTTCTACACAATACGTTTCATCTTCTATTGCAACTTTTTCAACTAAGTTAATGCTTATACGTCTTTGTCACTTTTGTACGAGGACAGAGATTTCAAATTGGAGTAAATTTGAAGCTAAAAATGCCAAACAAGAAAGAAAGAGAAAAATGATGGCATATTTGGGGCCAGGCAACACACCCATATTTCACATGGAGTTAAGGTTCTCTCAAACCAATAATTTATACTGAGAAGCCCCATTCTTTCTGCCTCCACAGTCCAGCGCAGAGCCCACCTGTTTGCCCCCGCTCCCTGGGGCATCTTATAACGGGATCTTTACACAAATAACCAGTTATATTTATTATTTACTTTTTCTAGCCATATACATAAATTATACATTCATTATGTACAAATATACACATATAATACATAAATTATGCATACACTAATACTATAACTCCACCGCCTATTTTTAGTTTAAGCGGTTAGACATACGATTATTTGGGTTAATTCTCCTCTTATAAACAAATATTAGATTAACTGTTGAGTTGCATGATTGTCTCCAATATATTATGTACGAGTTACGAAAAGAGTTTATAAAGATCTCATGTCATTTCTGCTGATGGTTTAAGAGCTTAAGTTTTTTATGGAGAAAATATTTTGAAGGAAAACATTTTCCTTTATACCAAATACACCCATAAGCAGGGACGGATGTACGGTTATAGGTACGGTTCAATTAATGCTATAACTTTCGATGCAAAATATAAATTTATGTGTAAATTTTTTTCAGAATTACAATAAATAATAGAGATGAACTCATAACTTTAATATTATAATAAGTTCAATACTAAAAACCTAAAAGTTGAATTCATAAAATTTAAACCATGAATTCGCATTAGTCTAACTAATTATGGATAAAAACAAAGTAGTCAAACGACATTATCCGTTCACTTTTAGTTGTCAAGTATTCTAAAAATAATTTTTTATTTTTACTTGTCAATTTTTGCATATCAAGAGAAAAATAATTTATTTTTCCTCTTTTGCCTTTAATATTAATTACTCATTCCAAATCATTTTCCAAATCTATTAAAACTATATACACCAATTAATATGTGTATCACGACAAATTATGCATTAAGGGTAAAAAATCAAAGTGAACGGAGGATTAATTTGGTCCAATCATTCGCATTTCATAGGACATTGTCATTATTTGGATAATCGAATACCTTTTATTTGACTGTAATATTTTAGTACAATTTCTTAGGAGTAATATTTAGTTGTAAATTTGTGCTCTTTTGATATAGTTTTTCAAAGCTCAATTCACAATGATGCTTTATAACACGCGGACTTCTTATCGTCACTCTTTTGTATAATGAGATTCTTTTTGAAAGAACAAGGATAATGCTTCTTTACTTTTTAGAGTGAAAAATTATTCTAAAAATTAAAGGATTATAATGTAGGGGCTCAACAGTCAATGTAACTTTGACTCAACTGCTGGACCTCATTAAATTCCTCCCACCGACACAATCCACACAACTTCAAAATACCAACACAAATGCACCACATGTACCTACTTGTGACTTGTGATTGCTCCATGTCCCTAAGTTTCCAAATAAAGTTGGAGCCTCACTCCCTTTTCATCTCACCCCTCATCTCTACAACTTGACACTCACCAGTTGCTTTACTCTACTGGTGAGTTCAAATAGTACCCTTATAATTTGTTTTTATCCTAAGGTGAAATCACACAAATTGTATTTTAACTAGAAGTTGGTAAAACATGGAGGAATAGCAGTGTTGTGAATAGTGAACATGTTGAAGCAATCATCAAGTAGGAATATGAGGACAAAAAGGTTTAAACTAAAGCATGCTTTTCAAGCATTTGTACTGCTTTTGATCTGCTTCTGGTTGATTTACCAAGTAAAGAAATCTTACAGCAGGAGCAAGGTGAGGTTAGTGGAGAATTTGGAAGAAAAATCAGTTAAAGAACAAGATGGGGAACAAGTGTTGAAGTTAGGGAGAAAGGATCTGAATCCTTTGTTGTTAGATGAGTTAGCTGCTGAGTTTCAGAAAACCCCAGATGAAGATCTTGAACAGGAAGAAGATGAGGGGAAAAACCAAGAAAATGAAGGAGAAATAGCTAGTAATGATGGAGATGATGAGACAGATGGAGTTGGAGAGCATGAACAATTGGAAGAAATAATAGATGAAGATGATAAAGATGCAAGAAGTAGAAGAGATGCAGTCTAAACAGCTCTAATTATTTTCTTTTACTAGTAGATAGATAATATGAATAGAGTGTTTCAGCACTAAAGGGGAATCACCACATCCCCTTGTTAGTATTCTGATTTTGGAAATCCAAATTGTAACAGAGTACTCTGAGAATAAAGTGTCAAAGGAACTGCAAGAGATAGAAATGCACAGCTGCATAGGCAATTACAAGCCAAGACTGATCCAATGATAGCGGGCTTAATTAGTATATGGCATAGTATAACTTGCTGTTTTTTCCAAAATCCAGTAGTATAAGATACTATCAGATTAGAGAAAAATGTTTTTAGTAGAGTATTTTTAAGGATTTCAACCTGAAACATGGAGAATGCGAGGATTGCTTATATGTAATTGTAATTGTATTTAGGTGGATGGATTAATTTTGGACGAATCCTAATTAATAGTATCTTACTGGTGTTATTATGACCTGTAGAGGTGCATATTTGCAAGTCTATTATTCTATCAATGGTTTTCTACAAATATTTGTCGTGTTTTTGCTTTCTGCGCTCGAAAAGCTTTGCGCAGTTGTAACAGTATGATGTTTTGACCAGATTCAAGCATTCAAACAGCATATATTATCAAAATAGACAGACAATTGCTTTTACTTTCTGCGTATTTCAATGCATAAACAAGTTTTCTGACACTCTAAATATGAATCATTCGGTAAAAGATCTCATTGGTGAAAAGCATAAACTATTGCCAGTTATACTACGAGATAAAGTTGATAATCAACCAAAATGATAAGTTATACAGAAACATGGATTGACCATGATTAGTTTTTGGCTTTCCATGTTTTAGAAAATATTCGAAAAAAATCCGTCGACCAAGTCTGGGACACACAAAATCCTTCCCATTGAGACATTACATTGAGAAAATTGCGGCCAAGAAGTTCAATGAGAGATTCTTCCAGAGCTCACCCAGCTAAAACTCTGAGACTTAAATCGCAGCAGCAAAGGCATAGGCCAAAAGGGATAACGTCCGAAAAATCTGCTTCAATCCACTGTTATTGATTCACTTTTATGGACTCTTAGTTTTAATCTGTTGGTGTGCATTCCACTGCAACGACATCCACACTATAGATGTGCCTGAGAGAAAATGGAACTCCATAAGACAGTCAAAAGTGGTGTATGACTTGGAGTGAGATCAAGCAATTGCAAAGAAATGAAAGAATGTGCTGATGCAGAAAGATAATGCCACTAATGCAGCTGTTCTTTTGAGTTACCTCCAGATTATTATAACTTCCTTATTATAGTTAAACCACAAACATAGGTAAAGAAGTTCAGAAGTTGACAACTAATTCAACCCTTCATTAGAATAATCATAAATATTTGCTTCATCATCTCTTTTCTTTAAAAAGTAACTAACATATTTAGGTAGTAAATTGGGCTTAAACAACCAGTACTCCATCCAAAAGATAGGCTTTAATTCATAAGAAGAGCAAGTTCCAGTAGTTCAATTAGGGCAATTAAAAAGTTCACAAGAAAGAAACACGGTAAAAGTTTGACAAAGATTTTTCAGAAAATTTAGGAGCACAAGCAGGTCTTCAAATGATTAAGTTGGGGAAGTAGTGACATGGCACAACTAAATGAACCCAGGTCCATGTTAATAGATGCTAAACAGAAACTCCGAATCACATGGTACTTGGTGAATTAAGGATGAATCACAGGTTATATCATTTGAAAGCAGTTCTTGCATTTTGAAAGCACTAGTTAAGTAAATCCAATTTTCACTATCACTGTTTTATTAGCACATCAAAGCCAGCGATGGAGGGGAAACACAGAAAAACATTACAAGATCTAGCAGCGGTCATAAAAAAGAACTCTGGGAGGAACAATACCTGCAAATATACCAACAGTAATCAGATTTTTTATTTCCATTGTCTGATAGATCAAGAACTCAGTCAGGAAATGACCGAAGGCATAGACAAATGATAACAAGGTTGCCAAATACAAAGGCCTGTCATGAAGGTTAAATGCACAAAGATAGCAAAGAGTGCAGGTTAGAAGAGTCCACACTCCAAATGTCCTCCCATGTACTTCTGACACTGCACATGATAATCGAAAAGGACAGTTTTCATTAAAAACATATCAAATTTAGGACAAGACCTTGAAAAGAAGTGAGTTGACACATTAGTTAACAGGACTTTGGAATACAAGAAAATGAAAAGAGCAATGTAATGCATGGTTATTCCAATGCAATCACAAGTAAAACCTCCCGATCCTGAGCAATACAAAGTATTTATCATTTGTCAAATTGAAGGTACATGCACAGATTTGAGCTTAAAAAGTCAATGTTCTTAAGAGTTACTCAAGAAGTTGAGCACCAAATGTAACGAATCAAATGTGTTACTACTGACTGCACACTGCAGTACCAGTAATTTCTTTTGATTGGTGAATGCACTACCAGTAAGGTTCTATTTTCATGACAAAAGCTACTCCATACATTCACAAGTTGTAGCCACCAAATTCCCACATTGCCGTCCCACATAAGCTAAGGGCAGCCGGTGCACAAAGCATCCTGCATTCGCCGCATCACAAGGGGTAATGATGTAGACAGCCTAATCTAATGCAAGCATTAATGACTGCTTTCATGGCTCGAACCCGCGACCTATGAGACCCGCGACCTATAGGTCAAATGGAGACAACTTTACCGTTGCTCCAAGGCTCCCTTCTACCATCCTACATCATTCCCAATAAATTCAAGCCAGACAAGAAACATCATATTGTCACAGTTACTTGACAATACATAGTATTTATAGGTGCATTGGGGCCAAGCAAGTAGTGACAATAACACTATTCCAACCTATCAAGACGAATAAATTCTCGGATATACTCGACTCCAGCTGAGTTGCAAAATAACACAAAATAACCCAAATGGGATGACATGAAGATATGTAACTTGAACAGACATAACGAGAACATTTTAAGAAGTCTTTTGAGCTGCAATTGTTGGATAAAGACTTCTCTTATGAAAGGATAGGACTATGTGGAGAGCTTGGAGGTACCGATAATGACACCCATTTGTGACATTACAAAAATCTTATAAAGGGGAGCAGCTTTACCTTTTTAAAAGACATGCAGAATTACAAGCTAATATTAAGAGACACATGAAAGAAGTGCTACAAATACTGCAAGAGAATAATTACATTTTTATATGTTCCAAACTTTAAGAGCTAAGTCCAAGCTACAGAAGCTTCTGACAATCAACTTCTCTTAAACAAATTATGCTTCTATATATCCAAATAAGGTTTCAGAATGATTCTTGTCCCATTCCTTATCAAAAAGAAAATTGATTCTTTCCCAGTTCTACGTAATGTTTGTGCTCAAGTAGAAATAATTAGCTTCTTTTGGGAAAACCTTATCGTCCTCATACTTCATTCAAATGGTGGATTGAAAAATCTGAGCATATGTTGATATCACATTCTCACATCATGAATTACTGAGTGTAGATCTGTAGGTATGATTGTTTTTCCTGATTCAACTGACTTTGTTTATGCGTAGGAAAAACGCCTTTTTGTTTGCTATAGGATATCCGTAAATAGGTTAAATTTTCATTAGTTTATAATTGTTGCATCTACATGTTGAATAGATTGATCTAGTAACCAGTTATAAGGAGGTATTATAAATCACAATGTAATACTACCTAAAATGCACAAATATTCCATCCTTAGCAAGGAGAAGAGCTCAATCTGATTCTTGAAATCGTTCCCTTTACTATTGTCCACATTTTGATTTTGATCAGTCATATGTATATTTCAGATAAGTCACAAAACCGAGAACACTAAAGCAAATATCTGGTTACACTTGCATAGAATATCCGAATAGGATAATTCATTAGTGTCTTAAATCAAGAGAATGTGAAATGTGGACATAGTAATCCTTGTACGTAAAGATTGAGAAATGAAAATTTAAGCTTGTTTAGGAGTACTTGGTAAGCAACAAATGTGCATTGGATCCACAGATTTTCAGACCCATAAATCCAATCAAATCTATTGCCTATAGATTCATGCCAAAGACATGAAGTCAAAAGCCAAGTCTTAAGCCCAAATGACATAATGTATTAATCCGTTTAATCATTCTTATCACCATTTTTCAACCGTGGAGTAGCAAATTGATTCAACAGTACATCGTCCCTTATTCCTTTTCCCATTCAAAATGAAACGCGTCTGGTCTAGGGACAGATCCAAAGTTTTAACACTCAACAGCGCATGTGTCCAAACCCGCCACCTTTGCTTTGAATTATATATAGATAACTGGACAGATTGTGTGTGTTTTGACAGTGTACATGAGCTTACACTGAGTATTGTAGCTCGGGTTCGAATTTTATTCATACTAAACTTGCATCTACAAGACTACAACCAGAAAGTAATAATTGCTTAAAATCCTGATCTGTCTTAATCTGATCCCTAATTGATTTTAATTAGACATAGCTGCCATAAGTTCCTATATGTAATCATCCTAGGCGAAGGAATAAAATCACCAAAAAGGACACTTTTTGTATGACAAATCACAGAACAGAAGGCGAAAGTGAGGGGATTTGATGTGTACTGGCATATATTAGATTGCTTCCTATTACAGATTCAAATCAGATCGCGAGAATTAAACAAAAGCCAAAATGTGCGTGCAATGTTCGTTATCCAACGACGAAATGTAGAGCACGAAGCGTGATCTAAGTAAAAAGTGTGTGTAAAACTTACTTGTGGTTTTGGAGAAAACAGCGAGACGAAGAGCCCAAATGTCGAAGAAACCAAACCATACCGATGCAAGCCGAAGTGTGCCCACTAGCATCAACCACCATCCTAACAGCTTCATCTCTCACTTTCTCGCTCTCTCTCTCTCTCTCTCTCTCTCACACACACACACACACACTTACTTTTTCTGTTTTCATTTTTCAACCACTAAATAAATAGTAATACATGCCCATTGACACAAGTGAACTCATTTTGGCCCATAATCTCTATTCTCTTGTACCACTTTTAATTGGGCAAGTTACACATTTAGCTTGGTGGTCAAAAATAATTATATTCACTAGTTAAAAATTTATAAGTATTGACTTTTTAAGCATTGAATTATTTTTTTAAGGTGGATAATATTGAGGGTTACATTATCTTCAAAAGGATGCTAAAAATGAAAGTTGAAACAAGAAAACTTTTGTTATCAAGAGCCAATCTCAAAGCTGATTAAAAGTATCCCATTGGCATTATCTTATATATTAGACTTGGCATTATCTCACTTAGTTATTACCTCTAACGATACATTTTAAGTGATTTTTTGATTTTTTTAAACATATTAAAAAAATTATCTTTTAGCATTAATTAACAATAAAATTGATCATATTAACTTTAATTTGTTCATGAGAAATATAATAAACTACTTTTAGGCTCTTTACTCCAAGTCAACTTTGGAAAGAAGAACTTAATTCCTTTTTGATATTTTAAAAAATCAAATATTATGGACCACAAAAAAAAATATCAACAAATCACTTAAAGTGAACCAGAGGAAGTATTTGGTTTTAGAAAAAATAACTTAACAAATATAGTCTATGATTTGTGAACATAATCTGGGACTCCTAATTTAATACTCACATTAAACCCGCCCCACCCTCTCAGATTTTTAAAAAAGAAAATCTCTCTGTTTTATTTTTGTTTTTCGCCAGTAATTGCATTATATAAAGACATCACAAACATCTACATAACATCTTAAATTTGCCACTTAAATTTGCATAATCGAGAGACTTTCAACATAAAGGATAATTAATAGCAAATCATATACTAATACATGATCTGGAATAAAACATTAAAACTTTATTTCTATTCCTCTTCCCCTTCCTTGGACAGCTTAATCACCTGAAATTAATTAACACAATGCAACATTAGGCACTGTATATATTCTTAAACGAAGAACTACTTCACCAATTAGAAAAACAATTTGAAAAAGAGAAGAAAAGGAAAGGAAAACAATGAACTGTCAAAATGCAAAAGCTCACAGTTTATATATGTGTCTTAGAAAACTAGTTTTTATTCCACTACATTCAATTTACAGAACTTGAATAGACATACGTCTTTATAATGCCTAGCTGGTCTGGGTAACGATCTCATTGACATCATTAAATATGTAAGTTATGAAGTCTTATGTCTTCAAATAGAATGATTTATATACCACAGATGTACATGGTACGGGAGAGGGGGTGGGGGGTGCGGGGGAGGGAGGTTGTGGGAAACCAATACTATGATATCCAAATTATTTCGGTCAAACATTAAGTCTTTATTTAGTACTCCGTCCGTTTCACTTTTAGTTGTCCACTTTGAACTTTGCACGCCTCTTAAGAAACAATAAATAAAGTGTATAATTTATCACGATACTCATATTAATTGGTGTATAGTCTTAATGAATTTGAAAAATGATTTGGAATGAGTAATTAATGATAAGAGCAAAATAGAAAAAATAATTTTTTTTCTTCTTGATATGCGAAAAGTGATAAGTGAAAAAAAAAATTATTTTTAGAATATTTGATAACTAAAAGTCAACGGATGAAGTAAATTTTTGGCATTTCATTTATGATAAAAAAGGAGAAAAGAAAGTAAGCTTAAAAGTTTGAGTTTATACAATACATCTCTAATTACTCCCCAGATAATTGGGAACAAATTAAACTGGACAGTTTTAGATGACTAATAATCCATGTGATATAATTATAATCCATGTGAAAAAATCATGAAATATTGGTTTGGTAGTTAATAGTACTAATTTAATACAGAGGTATTGAGACGAAGAGCTTTTCTTTTCTTTTTTTTTTTAAATAACGTCGGTACATTCCTTACTAGTATGTGCTAGAGGGTATCAATTTACACCCGTTAGTGCTGTTTTTTTATACTAATAAGTATGTGCTAGAGGGTAAAGAAGTTGTGAAGTACTATTAATTTGAGGTCACTTTCATAATAAGTTTAAATTATGGATGAAGTTGTGATACCATTTTCTTTACCAATTGTAGCATGATCCCAAAAGTAGGAAATGGAACGAGATAAAGGCAAAGTGCATCCATAAATTGAGGATTGTGATTAGTGGTGAGAGGGTGAAAGAGACTTTCACGTTACTCTGTCTACTGCCTGCTGTTTAGAGCCACAATACCCTTGTTTAAGATTGTGTATCGTAGGAGCAAATGTTACTAGTGGGCACAAATAGAAAAACTAATTCAAGAACGTGACTTCTGCGTAGAGATGTTTGGCCGAGGTTTAAAAATCAGCTTATTTTTTTAAAAAACAAATTGGCGAGAAATAATTTGTGTTTGATTAATCTTTGAAAAATATTTTTGAATCGGAATTAATGTTTGGTCAAACTTTTAAAAAGTGATGCTATTTTCTGCTTCTTAAAAATTACTTCTACTTCGATTCAAAAGCACTATTTTTCTTCTAAAAGTCTGGCAAAAAACAATATTCCCTCCGTTTCAATTTAGACGAGGTTGTTTGACTTGACACAAAGTTTAAGAAAAATAAGAAGACTTTTAAAACTTGTGGTCTTAAAAGTTTAAGGGGTAAAAGTGTGTGGGGCCATGACATTTGTGTGGTTATAAAATCTTTTCAATGAAGAGTATAAAGTTGAATTATTTCCAAATTTAAAAATGTGTCATTTATTTTTGAACATACTAAAATGGAAAGTACCTCATCTAATTTGAAACTAGGAGAGTATATATATAATTTCTTCAAAAAAGAAGGAGGATTTGCAGTCGTACCCTATATTTGTGTCACCTTTTAACATGTATCCTATTTTTTAAAATTATTGATTTGGTAGCCATCTCACAAAAAATTCGTAATAATATGACAATTACACCCCTGACAAAAGATATACAATGATCTCCTTCTCTCCTCTCATCAACTTTATAAAAAAATCAGAAACTTGTCCAGATTCATCTTTAGAATCACACTTGCATGAAGTTGTTTCACCTTGAAGCTAAAATTTCATGCTAATGTAGCATGAAGTTGTTTCATGTTGAAGCTAAAACTTCATGCTAATATATCATGAAGTTGTTTCATGTTGAAACTAAAACTTCATGTTAATGCATGCTGAAGTTATTTATCCTGCAGTTTACAGTTTTGTCATGAATTTTATCCGAAACTTCAGTCTAAACATGCTGAAGTTATTTAGTTCATTTGCTAAAATTTCAGACTAAACATGCTGAAGTTATTTAGTTCATTTGCTAAAATTTCGGACTAAACATGTTGAAGTTATTTAGTTCATTTGCTAAAATTTCAGACTAAACATGCTTAAGTTATTTAGTTCATTTGCTAAAATTTCATACTAAACATGCTTAAGTTATTTAATTCATTTGCTAAAACATCAGACTAAACATGATTAAGTTTTTTAGTTCATTTGCTAAAATTTTAGACTAAACATGCTTAAGTTTTTGTCTTATAGTATGTAATTTTTTAATGAGTTTTTGCTAATGCATGCTGAAGTTATTTAGTTCATTTGCTAAAATTTCAGACAAAATATGCTGAAATTATTTAGTTCATTTGCTAATATTTCAGACTAAACATGCTTAAATTTTTGTCTTGCAGTATGTAATTTTCTAAAGAGTTTTTGCTAATGCATGCTGAAATTAGTTAGTTCATTTGCTAAAATTTCACACCAAAATATGCTGAAATTTTGTAACGCAGTCTACAATTTTGTCCTGTGTTTTATCCGAAACTTCAGTCTAAACAAGCTGAAATTTTTTAGTTTATTTGCTAAAATTTCAGGCTAAAAATGCTTAAATTTTAATCCTGCAGTTTGTCAATAGTCTTTTATTAAAGAAGGGCAAAATCATCTTTTTTAAAACGCTTTTAACAAAAAAAGGGTACGGATACAAACGAAAAAATAAAACGGGTATAAGTTAAAAATGGACGACCAAACAGGGTACCCATGCAATTTTTACAAAAAAAAAAAAAAAAAAAAAAAAAAAAAAAAAAAAAAAAAAAAAAAAAAAAAAAAAAAACAAGGTCAAACAAGGTATTAGCATCTCGCTGCAGGAAAAGAGTGCTTGGTTACGAAGCAACACAAAAAACGACACTAGGTTCTCTGATCTTGTTAGTAATGACTCATCCTGACCATATTACACCACCAAATACACTCAGCACAATAAATGTTACTACTACATCTAGTATTCTAGTCCCCCCTTTGAAAGAATATTGACCAGTTTTAATCAGACCAGATCCAAATCTGCTTTACTGGTGTTAAAAGTACATTGAAAGTGCTACTATTCGAAAATGTTTTATGAGGAGTGGTTTAATTTGCTCTGTTAAATTTTAATTAACCTTTGACAGGACCGCAAATAATGTTTAGAATTTACTAGTGTTTATCCGAAAAATCGAATATAGTTGAATTTAAAAGTAGTTCTAAGGATATGTGATATAACCCGACATAAATCGTACGTAGAAGTGGAAATGTTTGGATTCTTGGCTATAGAAATGAGATATAAATTATTGAACTAGAAGAGTGAGTGTGTTGAGTCAAAAAGTTTAAGAGATTTATTCTTCAATAAATAGAAGCAGTCTATTATTGCCCTCTCCCCCCTGCTTACAAGGATTCCCCCTTTATAGTAGAGGATGTTACTTTATTTATAATAATAAAAAATATATAGTGGAGAAACCATGATAAATTGTCTCTTCCTTGATTCCTGCCAAGATTCTCTCCTCTAGTGTGGTTGCAACGGCTCCTGTTTGCGAGCTCGATACTGGCTCGAGCTCGGTATTGGATCGAGCCCTCGGCCTTGAGTTCGAGTTCGACATTCAGGGTAAGTGTCAATCGATCGATGCATCTCCGACAACTTTCTTCTTGCCTTGCGGTTCGATTTGGTCATGGGCTCGATAATGATATCGAGCCGATTCCTCGATCGGTCTTGGAGCTCGAGGATTG